AAAAGTTTGATTCCACAACAAGAGAGACAAGTAATAAGGCTTATTAATGAAAGAATTCTAGCATTAGGTCTAACCATAAAGCTTTACTGGAAATGATAGTACAACTTTTAAAACAATTAGTATCACTTTGTTTGTCCAGTAATGGAGATAGTAAACTTTATCACTGAATTTAATGTGTTCTTAAGCAATTGGCTGGTATAACACAGGGAGAAAGAAACTGCTCACAAATCATTAGCTAAATAATGCTAATAGTAGGTGTACCAATAAAACTTTACATATAACTAACTTTATATTAGAACAGATATCATGAATCTTATAGCAAGTAGTAAGAACTAACCTCCTTGTGTATCTCCTGTGATTAGGGCCGTGGGAAATATAAGATGTGTAACAGAATTTGATAGGGATGGTAATAAATACAATGAATAACAGAATGTGAGCAGTCCTTAGAGATAAGCAAGTCTGAGAAATGTCTGAAGGAGAGTATAATTAATGGGATAAATTTTGTAAGATCCCAAGGCCTGATGATGCAATGATCGGTAAACATCACAAGGTCATGGAAATCCTAGGACTGTCCATAGGGGAGTCCATCATTGATTGGGTGTTTCACAGGATTGGATGTACAGATTATGGGAGAAGGAATAATGACAATGTTGCATATAATTATTGTAATGTGAAATGTATGAAAATGCTGTATCCCACTGGGGAAATCAATGTTATTGACCTCTCTTCTGATCTAAGCTGGATTAAGAGGGTAACTGGGCCCCATTTGAAAGCCAGATTTAGAGTGGTCTCTATCCTCTCCCACATGTGTGGTAAAGAGCTCGAATAAAGATCATTTGTACCTCTGAACACAGAACTTGAGGCTGCTCTTTGACATTTCTCCCTAACATAGACATAATTTAAATGGCTTGGAAACAACATTTTGCAGAGCAAAGTCACTGGGCTGCAGCAGAGAAAACTTTGGATTTGAAAAGAGTTTGGTCAGCTAGACTTGCTGAATCTATAGTACTTCCAGAGAGAGGTTACATGAGACACTTTTTACGTATGGCGAAGCTACTGAATTTGAACACAGTCTGAAAGATATTTCACCAGAACAAACAACTCTCTCTCTTCTGTTCTTTACACTAATAAAACCTTCAGTTCTCTCAGGAATGTGACTTGAATAGATTTTGGGAATTTACATATATAGAGATTATATTAAAATCTTCTAACTGATTAAAGAATTAAGAGCATCTTAGGTTTGTTTAATACATCCTCATCAGTGGTGTGAACCTTTAATCTTTTACTTATAAATTCTGTGTCTGATACTATCTCTGTCACTAACACCTGAAGATGGACTGAGGTTCCGAAAGCTTATGTTTTCAAATAAACCTGTTGGACTATAATCTGGTGTCATGTGATTTCTGACTTTGTCCTTTCATCAATGTTTATCGGCTGAGAACCAACCAGAAAGCATAATCACCACAAGTATAGATTTCTGAAAAGAGAAATTGAAATCTACCACCCCTGTCTCCAGAAAATATTAAATCAGCAAAACATTATTAATACAGTAAGACATCTGAGTACCAGCAAACTGTGTGAAAAATTGACATTGGTTGCAGACATTTGGGCAACCTGAGATTAGTTATTTTCTTCAATTTAACCATTGCTTTACCAATGTAATTAAAGATAACCCTATGAAGGTTCTGCATTTTCTTCCTATATTTGGAGCAGTGTGTTTATTTTCACGAAGATCAGTTTTTCATAATTGCACGTGTAATGATCTTGTGAATAATTTTTATATCTTTGCTTGAATAAATTTTATTGCAATACATGAGAAAGGTTCAGGTTAGGGTTACTGAAGCAATGGGACTGATTTGTTTCTGATAGTCAGCTGAATAGAGTCTAAACATCTACATTCGAAATATCACTAACACCCACTTTTAAAATTCAAATACTTGTGACAAGTGGAGGAGTGAGACAAGGAAACGGATCAGTTCATATTTTGTATATCGGCCATAACAAGATCAGAATATAACATCACATATATTATCAAAATTATTGTCTGCAGTATCTGACTACTGTACACTTCCCTCCAGTCCAAAAACCAAATGTTCACCAGGACAATCTTTGTACTCTGTTCCTGTGCCACATTTGTGTTGATGCTCCGATGTCCTGTTGACATTAGATGCTTTAATTTCACTGACACACACATTGGTTAGGACCTTGCCAAATAACATTTGCAAATCTAGATGCGCAAAGATCGTCCATTTGTACGGTATTCCCCAAGCTTCATGTCCTCAGTGTATATATTCTGAGATTTCATATCTATGTGAACTAATATCAACTGTATGAGCTGATTTCAAAATTATTATTTGTGTATTATCAACAAATTAAACATCATACACTTTGGTAAGAAGAATAAAAGCATGGACTATTTTCTAAATGGGGAGAAAATTCAGAAGTCTGAGTGCAAAGAGACTGGGGAGATCGAGTCCAGGATTCTCTCAATGTAAATTTGCAGGTTGAGTCAGTAGTCAGGATGGCAAATGCAATGTTGGCATTTATTTTGAGAGGACTTGAATATAAAAGCAGGGATGTACTACTGAGTCTTTATAAGGCTTTGGTCAGGCCACATTTGGAGTATTGTGTGCAGTTTTGGGCCCCATATCTCAGGAAGGATGGACTGGCCCTGGAGCAGGTTCAGAGGAGGTTCATGAGAATGGTCCCAGGAATGGAAAGCTTAACATATGAGGAACATTTGAGGACTCTGGGACTATACTCATTGGAGTTTAGAAGGATGGGGGGGAGGGAGGTGGTGGGATCTAATTGAAACTTACAGAATATTGAATGGCCTGGACAGAGTGGATGTTGGGAAGATGTTTTCATTTGTAGGAGAGACTAGGACCCGAGGGCACAACCTTAGATGAAAGGGAAGACCTTAGAGAACGTAGATAAGGAGAAACTTCTTCGGCCAGAGAGTGGTGAATCTATGGGATTTACTGCCACAGAAGGCTGTGGAGGCCAGGTCATTGAGTACATTTAAGACTGAGATAGATAGGTTCTTCATTATCAAGGGGATCAAGGGTTACGGGAAGAAAGCGGGAGAATGGGGTTGAGGAACTTGTCAGCCATGATTGAATGGTCGAGGGGACTCGATCGGCCGAATGGACTAATTTCTGCTCCTATGTCTTATGGTCTTATGGTCTTAATGTCCTGTGGTAATTGTCACTCTCTATGTGTTAACTTAATTTTTCTAATAAGGAGTTAACAATTTGTACCTCAGAAAGGAAATTACACACCATGAGATAGTAAGAACTGCTGATGCTGGAATCAGAGGTAACACAGCGTGTTATCTTCTGAAGAAGAGTCCCAACCCGACATGTCACGTCAACTTTCCTGCTCCTCTGATGCTGCCTGGCCTGCTGTGTTCCTCCAGCTCCACACTGTGTTAACTATAAATTACACACCATCACGCCTGTTAGGTTTATTGCTTTAAACCATTTGTCAAGAGGCATTGTGGGGAATGGTGGAGTGAATGATTTGATGGAGTTTCTGCATTTGTTTTTTTTTATATCACAATCCGTATGAGAACAAAGTACTGTGCAGTTTTGGCCCCTTATTTAAGATCCAACTTTATTGCATAGTAGCATTGCCGGGATGGTTCGCTCAATTCCTTCCTGGGTCAGAGGGTTAATTTCTGAGGAAGGTTTGGACAGGGTGAGTCTTCATCTGTTGACAAGAATGAGAGGTGATTTTATTGAAACTCTGTAAGATCCCCACGAGACATAAACGCGTGGGTGCTGAAAGGATGCTTGCTTTTGTGGATGAGTCTAGAAGCAATGTCCAGTTAACAAAAAGGGCTCTCTGAATTAAGACAGAGATTAAGAGTATTTTTATTCTCGAGGAGTTGTGATCCTTTGGGTTTCTCTTCCCCAATTAGCAGTGGAGGAAGTGTCACTGAATATTTTTAGGTTGGGGTGCAAATAATTCTTGACTAACAAGGAAGTCAAAGATTCTCAAGAAGGTTACTGCTGAAAAGTAGAGTTGTGTGAACAATCAGATCAGGCATGATTTTAGTTAATGGCTGCAGGCCTGGCCAAAATGTTTACTCCTGGTCCAAATTCTTATGTTTGTATGTACGTCTGTTCTTACAATTTCAAGCTCAAACCAGAAAAAGATGGTAGTTTGCGAATAGCTGTCGTTTGCCAGAACCGTCCTTCTGGTACAGGATCCCAAAATCAGTATCAAATTTGGGACCCGACCTGGCTCTGTGTTAACAAACCACTGACACAATTTTAGATGGGTTGGCCAATTACTGGCAAAGTGCACCATTAAAATCTAATAAAGGAAGTGAGATGGTGAGGGTGGGGGGAGTTTTCAAAGGCAGAAGTCCGATAAGAGGCCCTTCAACACTGAAGTAACTGCTGCTCGAAGTTGCATGTATGGGAGAGAGAAGCTACCTCTATCTTTCCACTTGTTTCTATTCAGTGAATAGCAGAGCTGCTCTGGCACATCAAC